CTGAGTGAAAGTTGTTTCAGTGTAAATCCTGCACCAATTTTTGTTGTGTATTTAAAGTACTTTTACATCAAAGTAGCAGTAAATTACTTTAATATGTGTCCCTGCAGCACAAAAGCAGTGTTAAGTCGCTGGGGTATATTTGTAGCAATAGCCAACAATACATTGTATGGGTCAAAATTATAGATTTTTCTTTTATGCCAAAAATCATTAGGATATTAAGTAAAGATCATGTTCCATGAAGATATTTTGTAAATTTCCTACCGTAAATATATCAAAACTTAATTTGATTAGTAATATGCATTGCTAAGAACTTAATTTGGACAACTTTAAAGATGATTTTCTCAATATTTCGATTTTTTAGCACCCTCAGATTCCAGATTTTCGAATAGTTGTATCTCGGCCAAATATTGTCCTATCCTGACAAACCATACATCAATGGAAAGCTCATTTATTCAGCTTGCAGATGATGCATAAAGCTCAATTTTGAAAAATTTACACTTAAGACTGGTTTTGTGGTCTAGGGTCACATATGGTATTTTCTTCGTTGTGTCGCAGTAATGATAAAATAAAGAAGGTTTCTTTTGTGTTAGGTTGTGTTACGTTGAGAGTCTCACAGGTCACAAGAGTCCAGTGAACGCCGTGTCAGCCAGTGAGACGACAGGTGATATCGCCACAGTGTGTGATTCAGGTGTGCTGCTTTTCCTGTGACTGTATAAATCATTGTTTTATTGTTGTTAAGTTCTCAATTACAGTGTAAACCAGTTGGTAAAAAATATTTGCAAATATTAATTTGTATAGAATAATTGTAATCATTTCATGTTCTCTTCGTGTGTGTGTGTGTGTACAGTGGGTGGAGGAAGTGATTTGAGGCTGTGGACGATCAACGGAGATTTGATTGGTCATGTTCACTGTCGAGAGATCATCTGTTCGGTGGCGTTCTCCAATCAGCCGGAGGGAGTGTCGGTCAACGTGATCGCTGGCGGACTGGAGAACGGTGTGGTCAGGTAAAACATGAAAGCAATAACTCTACACTGTCTGGGACCAAATACTGATTCACTGATGAAACTGTTTGTTTAATTATTTTTCTTACAGTGACTTTTAAAACAAGTTTCAATAGTTGACTTTGACGATGCATAACAACTGCACAACTATTTGTGTAACAAAAAAAATGGAATGAGATTATGTACTCGTCTTCACGCTATTCAAAAGTCCAAGTGATGTAACTCTTATAAAATGGGTTAAAAAACAGTGGTTACAAATAAAGTATAGAGAGATTTTTTTTTTTACTCCGTTTGTATATTGTATATTAATATATAATAAGACGACTCCCATCGGTGCTTTCCTTCCTTCCTTCTCTGTCATCATATTTCAGGTTGTGGAGCACATGGGACCTGAAGCCAGTCAGAGAGATCACCTTCCCAAAATCCAACAGGCCTATCAGGAGGTACACACTTTTACCTCATATGACATGGATTTATTCTAATATCTTTATTAGAAAAGTGACATGCACCTATACCACTACTGGTCACTACGGCTCACCAAGGCTGCATTTATTCAATCAAAAATACAGTAAAAACACTAATATTGTGAAATATTACTACAATTTGAAACTTTTTTTTTTTAAGTGAATATATAGTAAAAATGTAATTTATTCCTGTGATCAAAGCTGAATGTTCAGCATCATTACTCCAGTCTTCAGTGTCACATGATCTTCAGAAATCATGATATCTTTGAAAAATAAAATATCATTTTTTTTTGTGAAAACCATGATACACTACCATTCAAAGGTTTGTGGTAAATACAATTATTTAAAAAATACTTTTATTCAGCAAGGATGCATTAAATTGATCAAAAGTGACAGTGAAGACATTTATAATGTTACAAAAGATTCAATTTCAAAAAATGTTGTTCTTTTGAACTTTCTATTCATCAAAGAATCCTGAAAAATAAAATGAATCACGGTTTTCAGAAAAACATTGATAATAATCAGAAATGTTTGTTGAGCATCAAATCAGCATATCAGAATGATTTCTGAAGATCAAGACTGGAGTAATGATGCTGAAAATTCAGCTTTGATCGCAGGAATAAATTACATTTTACTATATATTTATAGAGAAAACAGCTATTTTAAACTGTAATAATATTTTACAATTTTTATAGTATTTTTGATCAAATAATTGCAGCTTCGGTGAGCAGAAAAGACTTAAATCTTAATAACTGGTGGTGTAAGTGTCCCGTGGTTAATAACATTTCCTTCTGGATTCTCTCTCAGTCTCACGTTCTCGTGTGACGGTCATCACCTCTACACGGCGAACAGCGAGGGCACAGTGATCGCGTGGTGCCGTCGAGACCAGCAGCGCATGAAGCTGCCCATGTTTTACTCGTTCCTCAGCAGCTACGCTGCAGGCTGATCCTGCATCACGCCGCTCGTTACCCACACAGGACGGACGCTGAGAGCGACCCCACTGACCCAGGAAGAGGAGGAGCCAGCATGCACAAAGCCCCGCCTACGATCATCACAGAACCCGCCCCCTGAAACGCCATAGGAATGGACGGCACTTGAAGCTACTGTACCATAAAGAGCAGGGGGTCGTGAGGCAGAGCGAGCGCAGGCCTTTCCCCGCGTCATTTCTCCTCATCTGTTTGGACTGTGATTCATGTAGTATTTGTTTTTGATTTTGTGATGTTTGATTTTGAAAGCTGCTACAATCTGGTCTGCCCAGACTGAACGTTTGAAGGCCTTTCCTTCTTTTTGTCCCTCATCTCGCCCACCCGTCGCCATCCTGAGAATAGAAATCCTGCTTTTGAAGCTAAACCAGACTGAAATCATCTGAACACTACCGTCCGTCTGCGTTCCTGCAGAAACTGCATTTGGGAGGTTTTAAACGGGACATTTTCAGCATGTGAAGCTCGTGCATGAGTGACATGCAGCGGCGTAATGAATGTGTGCACGCAATGCCTTCTTAAACTTCATCCCTCATTGACAAACCGCTGAAATATTTATTCTCAAACAAGGATGAAAGCCACAATCTCAACGTCTGGTTCCTGTTCTTCATTATAAAATGCACTTGGGACGATCTTATGAATGTTAAAGGTGATCGTGTGTCACTCATGAATCGCTGACCGTGCTAATATTTATCCTGTGCTTTTCAGCCTGACTTTGTTTAACAGACACAAACGTCCCAGTTACCACATCAAATTCGTAATAGTTCATTAAAAACATGTGCTACTTTCTTCTTTTCTGTTCTAGTTTTATGTGTTGCATGTTATGATCACTTAAGCATTATCTAACATTGGCGATACAATATAAAGTTTAGTCCGATCTACCTCAAGGACCCTCTTTAACAAATAAAATTAAGAAAACTTTTGATTGCAATAAAAAAAACATGTTTATTGCACAAAGATGACGCTATATCCTTAAAAAATTACAATTCCCCGTCAGTACATTCAGATTGTCACAAGGATCAGATGCTCTTGAAGTCTTAAATGTGGAGGAAGAATAATTGAAGTCCACCAACTAAACATGATCCAGAATTGTCTTTGCCTTCGTGGTTGTTTCTTTTTTTTCTGTTCTGTATTTGCTGTTAGTTTTAGTCGTCCATTACATCTAAATTGAATTATCTCGTCTTATATTTTAGTGTTTACCAGAAAGGGAATGCTTTCACCTCTTCCCCCACTACTATGTTTTCAGATATATCACCATATGCATCACTTCAACCCTCAAATAAAGTTATTCAGTCAATGCAAATCCAAAAAAAGCAAGACAGTCGACTAGTTCGGGAGAATCATCTGGGCTTTACAGAGCCCTGGTTATGTGTTTGGTTTTTGTTTTTGAATCTATTTTCCATGCTTGCATCACATTTATCTCTTAATTATCGTGCACAGTATTGTCATGTTTGTATTTCCTCAGAAAGAGATTGATGTTACTGTCATTGTGTGAATTTGTAAAGCGAGATGAGTGAATTTATTTGACAAAACTATCACGAAAAGGCATATTGTTATCGTTCTGTTGAATTAACTGTAGAAGCTAAACCAGACTGAAATCATCTGAACACTACCGTCCGTCTGCGTTCCTGCAGAAACTGCATTTGGGAGGTTTTAAACGGGACATTTTCAGCATGTGAAGCTCGTGCATGAGTGACATGCAGCGGCGTAATGAATGTGTGCACGCAATGCCTTCTTAAACTTCATCCCTCATTGACAAACCGCTGAAATATTTATTCTCAAACAAGGATGAAAGCCACAATCTCAACGTCTGGTTCTTGTTCTTCATTCTAAAATGCGCTCGGGACAATCTTATGAATGTCAAAGGTGGTCGTGTGTCACTCGTCAATCGCCGACTGTGCTAATATTTATCCTGTGCTTTTCCACCTGAACAAACGTCCCAGTTACCACATCCGATTTGTAATAGTTCATTAAAAACATGTTCTGCTTGCTTATTTTCTGTTCTAGTTTTATATGTTGCATGTTATGATCACTTGAACATTATTTAACATTGGCGATACGATATAAGGTTTAGTCAGATCTACCTCTAGGCCCCTCTTACAAATAAAAGACAAATAAAATTAGAAATACTTCTGGTAACAATAAAAACAACCTGTTTATTGTACAAAGACGACGACACTATATCCCTAAAGAAATACAATTCCCTGACAGTACAAAGGGTTTGGATGCTCTTGAAGTCTTAAGTGTTGATAGCCTTAAATGTGGTTTATGTAATTTAAGATTATGTTCACCAAGGCCTGGCTGGGACATTTATTCCTTTTTTTTTTTTGTATTTATGAAATATGTAATAAAATGTCACCTATATATAATATAAATATTCAAGAAATTTTGATTCAGTTTGTTGGACATGTTTCTTCTATACAATGTTAAAAATAAAGGTTCACGTTTTGCAGGGATTCTATAGAAGAACCATCCGGTGATCAGCAGTTCTTAAAAGAACCCGTTTTCTTAGTGTGAAGAACTTCTGAATATCTAAAGAAACTTTTTCCAGTATGAAGAAGCTTTGGATGGATGTTAAAGGTCTTAAAAAGTCTTCATTGGACCTTCCACACATGAAGGTGTTAAATCGCAGCGGAAAGTCTTCATTTCATAAAGTCATGGCATTAAATGTTCAGTTCTTAAAAGAACCCGTTTTTTTTAGAGTAAAGAACATTTTAATAATCTAAAGAACCTTTTTACACCATAAAGAAGTGGATGGTTCCATGGATGTTAAAGGTTCTTCACAAAACCATCGATGCCAATAAAGTTTGCCTTGAAGAAGCTCTTTCCAGTGAACAGCTCTTAAAAGAACCCATTTTCTTAGTGTGAAGAACTTCTGAATATCTAAAGAAACTTTTTCCAGTATGAAGAAGCTTTGGATGGATGTTAAAGGTCTTAAAAAGTCTTCATTGGACCTTCCACACATGAAGGTGTTAAATCGCAGCGGAAAGTCTTCATTTCATAAAGTCATGGCATTAAATGTTGCATGCACTGCAAAAAACAAACAAACAAACATCTAAACATCCTTAAATCAAGATGCATTTGCTCGAGTTGGAAATTGAACATATGAAGTCTTGTTTTTTTCTGCTAGATCTTAAAAAGCATTTACCTTCATAAAACCTGCAGAAACCCTGATTGATGGAGCCATATCCCAATAAAGAACCTTTGTTTTATTCTATATTGCTCAGTTCTACACTCTTTAAAAAAGGATCCAAAAGAGGAATTTCATAGCGATACCATTTTTGGTTCCCCAAAGAATCTTTCAGTTCTTAAAGGAACCTCCATTTGTTTTCAACTCTACTCTATTCACCAAGTTCCCAACTGCAGCTGTGTCTGTGTTTAATTCGTGAAACTTGCGGTATACTCTTCGCTGTGTTACGTCACAGCGCGAGGCGGTTACGTCATCTCGGTGACCGGGAGACCCGGTGATGTCACATTAAGCAGGGAAACCTCACGCGCCTCCGGTGCGTCCTAACGATCCGACACCGAGCGTCTTCTGCCGCGGCGCGTCCGTCGGGCTTCTTAAAGGCGCAGCGTCACATCGAGGTTCCCCTCACATCTCGTGAACCGACACCGACTCCAGCGCCCGAGCAGAACGCGGGGAAACACTCGACGTTTAACGGCGAGCGGACGGACGGTGACCGTGTTCGAGGTGTTGCGGGTTTTTCCTCGTCGCGTTCGGGTGGAGTCGAGCCGTGTTCTGAAGCCTGAGCTGTGACACACTTCAGGTGGGTGTTGACTTCAGCAGCAGGTATTTGAGCGAATTGCCTCAAATCGCGTTCCCTGTTCTATTGCTTCAGAACGTTTTTGCAACATTGTAACACATTCCAGCGTTCCGGAAGCGGCTTCGGGTGTCGGGTGCGCTTGCTGTGTTACAGTCGGATTTAAAGGCGCTTGTGCTGTAGCTCCCGTCTGAAGGGACGCGGGGTGATGGATTGGTCCCGCAGGGTTTTGGGGGAATGATGCTGGAAGCTTGGGCGTTTGATGCCGCCTTTAAGTCGAAACGCCCGGCTGTGAGGATCGTAAAGATCCAGATGAGCGAAGCGTTCAGCAGCTCTGTGAGCATTCTCGAAATGGCCTTGAGTGAACGGATGGAGGAATAATAATCACGACCCTCGTGTTTTTTTTGATAAAGGTCTGTGTGCGTTTCTCTGTGTTTTAAACTTCTCAAACTCGTGAAAATGTCAAAATCAGCCATTTACTTCACTGGATTGGGCACAAGAAAAACATGTGATTTTTATCACAAGTGCAACTAAAGAATCTTTTATAGTTTCCTTTTGTATGGAACGGTTTTACCTGAATTTAAACAAATGTTTGATTAATTTCTGTCCCGAAATAGCCTTTCATTCATTCATTCACTCACTCACTCATTTATTGAAGCTGGTTTGGCAATAAAATACAAACAGCTGTGAATGATTAATCAGTTCAGAGTATACATTAATTTGTTCACTCACTCACTCATTTATTGAAGCTGGTTTGGCAATAAAAAACAGTTGTGAATGATTAATCAGTGCACAGTATTCATTCATTCATTCACTCACTCACTCACTCATTTATTGAAGCTGGTATGGCAATAAAATACAAACAGTTGTGAATGATTAATCAGTACACAGTTTTCATTAATTAATTCATTCACTCACTCATTTATTGAAGCTGGTATGGCAATAAAAAACAGTTGTGAATGATTAATCAGTGCACAGTATTCATTCATTCATTCACTCACTCACTCACTCACTCATTTATTGAAGCTGGTATGGCAATCAAATACAAACAGTTGTGAATGATTAATCAGTGCACAGTTTTCATTCATTCATTCATTCACTCACTCACTCATTTATTGATATTGGTATGGCAATCAAATACAAACAGTTGTGAATGATTAATCAGTGCACAGTTTTCATTCATTCATTCATTCACTCACTCACTCATTTATTGAAGCTGGTATGGCAATAAAATGCAAACAAATAGTTGTGAATGATTAATCGGTGCACAGTTTTCATTAATTCAAACAACTCTGAATGATTAATCGGTGCACAATTGTTTATTTATTTTATTTTATTTTATTGTTTGCAAAGATAAGATTGTAAAAGTATTATATACAATTAATTGAAGTATTATTGTTATGATTATTTTAAATTGTATTGCTCTTTAGTTCGCCATGAATATACTGTAGCCTTTGATGCTGATATGGCATTAAATAATAGATAAATTAATTAGTCAGTGCATGTTACTACAAAGAAAAAATGCATACAGATGCATTAAAACAACAAGCATGACTTTCCTTTTTATCTGATGTCGTTGATGTTTTTTCACGTTTCACTTAAACGTACCTCTGACTAGGGAAGTAAAAACCACGTGATTGGTTGAGTCAGTGGTTGACAAGTCAAACAAACAGATCAACTATTTTAACCCATCTAGTGTCTCTTCATTAACCCTCTAAAACAATTATGTTATGGAGCTTTATAAAAATCAATAAATCAATGGCCTGCTTACTGTAAATCATACTTCATATGCCATCATGTATAATGTGTGATGATGACAGAAGCATTAGGAGATGTTTGCTGTGAATTTGTTTCGTTATCTGCTCTAATGTGCCCAGAAGACTAAGTGAGCGTTTGAAGGAAGCTTAATGTGGCTATTAGCTGTAGTTAAGTGCGGTCTAGCTGAGCATTTAGCCTGTAAACCCGAGGGAAGGAGAGACGGAGCGAGTGTTTAGAGGAGCACGGGCTCAGCTGTGGACTTTAGCTGTGAAGAAAGATGGATTTGGACTATTCTGCAGAGGTTTCTCGTCTGTCTGCTTCAGCGTCCTCCTGCAGATGGCAGATATATTCTGACTGACATCAAATATGACCTCTGCTTTTAACCACTGGGAAATATTTTGGGAAGCAATCTATAGGTAGACTGATTCTTTATTGACACATATATATATATATATATATACACACGCACTGTAGGGATATTATTATAGTTAACTAAAACCTTAAAAAAGCATTTTTGTTACTTACAGTGGGTACGGAAAGTATTCAGACCCCCTTAAATTTTTCACTCTTTGTTATAGTGCAGCCATTTGCTAAAATCATTTAAGTTAATTTTTTTTCCTCATTAATGTACACACAGCACCCCATATTGACAGAAAAACACAGAATTGTTGACATTTTTGCAGATTTATTCAAAAAGAAAAACTGAAATATCACATGGTCCTAAGT